GCGCTGGGTCTGATCGCTGTAAACCCACATGGTTCTTGCTGAGCTTCCGTGAGCTCCACTCCCTTGCTGGGTTGATTCGGGGACTCATAACGTATAAAGCCCAGGGTATGTCCTCACAGATGTCCCTGGATCTCTGGGGCTACCAGGAAGGGGGAATGCACTGATAAGTCAAGCAGCCACCCCCTTATCCATGGTTTCGGCTCCCCGCGGTCAACCAAGGTCAGAAGCAAATGACCCTCCCTCTGACATGTCCTCAGAAGGTTGACAGTAGCCTACCACCATGACACACGCTTGCATCGTTCCTCTCACTCCATCTGGTCCTGTGGGCACGTCGCCTCACAACCTTCCAGGAGGGATGAGCTCAGCACAGTAAGATCCTTCGAGAGACAGGGAGCCTGCAGTCACATAGCTTTTGTTACAGTATATTGTTAGAATCACTGTACTTTATTAGGAGGTATTGTTGTTCATACTGTGCCTTTGACGCGGGTGTGTGTATATAGGAGAATGGTGTGTATAGTGTTCAGTGCGTCCCCTGGGGGTCTTGGGATGTATCCCCAGTGGCTAAGGCAGGGAGACTATCCTGTGTGCCAGATTGTGTTCTAGTCTATAAGCCATGCTGCTGTTTGCTGGGAGCAGGAGTTGTACCCATTTCACAGATGGGCAAACTAAGGCCATGAGGCTGGAGAACTTGGTAGGGATTACAGAGCTAATAAATGATGATGCTCAGGCTGACCCTCCAGTCTTCTGCCAGCTCCTGGTGACCGTCCCCTTGACCCCTTGTCCACCATGGGTTTCCCCTGAATTCCTTCTGGGGAGAGCATGTGGGAGAGGAGGACGTGGTGCTGTGAACTGCTCTGGCAGCTGGTGTGCTGCCCCAGAGCTGGTTTTCGGCCCTGATTTGGGGTCTTGGCCAGAGACCTGTCCTGATCTGATTCCGTGTCTGTGCTTCTTGGGGACACAGTGGGCAGACACTGCCCACCCATCGTCATGCTGGGTGGGGCCAGAGGGCTGGAGGTCGGACACCTGGGCTCCCACCTAGTGCCCTATATGTCCTTGCCCTGTCACCCTCTTCTCGAAAAGATCACCTTGGCCCTTTGGGACCTGATGTTCTGTGTTGGGACTTTCCAGGAGGTGGCAGAGGGGCAGGGACTGGCGTGCAGTACTGAGCCGTAAGCTTGGGGATAGAACCTGCTGAGCCAGGCGGGGCCTCGGATGGCCTGAGAGGAGTGACCCCCTGAGTATGGGCCCCACAAACTGAGTGGCGCCTGGCGGGGGTGGGGGCACCAGGCAGAGCACCCCAAACCAGGTGACCCCACAGGCGTCCCTCCCTCCTGGTGAAGGAAATCAGAGTCGCCTACAAAGCAGCGTGAGCTGCTGGACCTGCTTCCTTGAACGGGCCATAGGGTCTTGCTGCTGTGGGTTTGAAACCCGTAGAAAAAGCTTTTTAAGGGAAAGTGTGGTGAAGAAGTAACTGCGCGGCAGAGGCCTCTGCATCCCGGCCAGTCCGTCTGCACCGGCCCTGTGCTGGTCCAGGCTGGTCCCTCCACCCCCGGGGCTGCAGGCGAAGTGATGGTGGTGGTGGCGGTGGTGGGGGGATGTGTGGGACTCTGTGAGTCTGGGAGAGTGTAGCCTTGGGGGGAGACGGGCAGCCATGACGGGGGCGGGGGGTGAGCCGGACTGCGAGCTCGGCGGGGCAGGGCTGGCTATGCTCATGACATTGCCCCTGACCCATCACACAGTAGGGCCTTGTCAGCAAAACTTACGGGAACTGTCACACTTCGCTTGGTCCTGGGCACAGGAGAAGCGAGTACAGAAAACAATTTCTGAATGAATCACTGTTTCAAAGCCCACTCTCCTGGGACTCAGAGGGTGTTTGAGGGTGGGTGCGGAGGCATGGGGCAGTAGGGGCCCATTGTGGGAGGTGGGGTGGAGGGGGAGGTTGGGGGGGCTGCCAGGGGGCGTTGGGTCCTTTCCTCAGTCAGTGTCACCCAATGCACGCCAGCTTTTTTTTTTTTTTTTTTTGTCTTTTTGTAAATCTGTTTTTCTCTCTTGAGCTTCCTTATAAGATTTCTTTAGGCAAACAGGTTCTAAAATAAAGGTTTTCAAGGTATTCTGATTCAGGCAAAGGAAAACGGGGTGAGGGCTGGCCTTGGGCTGGCCCAAGTCAGCAGAATTGGGTTGGAAGCAGTCACCTGTGTCTTCCTCCCGCTGGCAGACTGACCACCTGTGGTCACTGGGGGGGGGGGGTGTCCCAGGGGCAGAGAGCACCTCAGGAGCCCTGGTTGGTGCAGGGCAATGACCCACATGGAGGTCTTGGTGCAGCCCTGCCGGGAAGCTCAAGTTCATAAGTACAGGCGGCCATGGACCCAAGGCACCCCCACCTTCCCCAGGGACACGTAGTACGGAAGCTTCCTCTGCTTTATCCTAATCTCCCCACAGACCTCAGAGTCCCCAGGGTACTATGGATGTTTCTCCGTCTAGACCTGGGTGTCTCAGCCTGGGTGCTGTTAACAGCAGAGGCCAGACAGTCATACCGCAGGGGTCGTCCTGTGCAATATAGGGGTGCTGAGCAGCGTGTCTGACCCCCACCCACAAGATACCAGCAGCGTATCCCGGCCGTGACCGTCAAAAACATCTCCAGACATTGCTAATGTCCTCTGGGGGAACCGAATCACTTGTTTGTCTGGAGAATCACTTGGGGGGCTCTTGGGGGCATCACTGGAGCCTCTCCGGGGCCCCCAGGGGCTCCAGAGAATCAGTGATTCTTGAGTATTTGATCTTCAAGACAGACTGGCCAGTTCTTGGACCTGCTGCCTGGCGTGGGCTGGGAAGCTGAGTTGTGGGAAGGAAAAGGAGAGAGTGGGGTAAGGAGGCTTCCCCTGGAGCACATTTAGGAACCCGGGAAGGCTGGGATGAAGCTCTTTCCTATTCTAAAGGAGAATGAGGGAGCCGGTCTAGTGGAGGCTGAAGTTCTGATGAGATCCCAGCATCAGAAAGCCACAAACCACGCTGGGCTGAACACGTTTGAGTCCTGGTGCATGGGGACTGTTTCAAGTCCTTTCGCTCCTGTGGTGTAGTGATGATTTAAGACTGAATTTAACACAGACATGGCTGTTAAACTGCATCAGATCTGCTCATGTATTCAACAAGCGAGTTGTGGTCCGACTTTGGGGACAAGCTAGGTAGCTCCCAGTCCTGGGGAGCTCGCAGGTGGGGCTGCCCCACTTGTAGGAGCCTGTGGAATGGGAAGCCCTTACTCTGTGTGAAGGGTGGCAATTGCCAGAACCCTGGGCTTCTGGAAGGCTCCTTAGGCTGTGTAGGCGAAGGTGTCCCACGGGCCAGGGTCTCGGGACCACGAACATGCTGAGTTAGCAAGGCCGACAGACCTCTCCCTTTCATGCCTCCTGCCTCCGAACTGGCGGCTACCCAGGAATGCTCACAAACATAAAACCGACTTTGTTTTCAGAATGTTCTCGAGCATAGACTCCAAAGGCTGCATAAAGGCATTCTTGTGGGGCTGGTTATCTGCTGGGGAAAATTGTGCTGGGGCCCCAGACCAGAGCATCCCGGGGGATCTGCCCACGGAATGCCATGTGTTGGCACAGGGGGTGGGTGCAGGATGACCTCTGAGAGGTGCTTCACGACGAGGATTCTCACGGGTTCTCAGAGTGGGTCTTCAGAGGAGCCCTCGTTATAATAGCTTTCGCTCTCTCTGCCCGCTTGTGTCTCCGGAAGGCTGGGCAATGTGTCACTGCCCAGAGCTTGCTCCAGGGACAACTGATGCGTCCAGAACTCTCCTGCTGAGCTCTGTAGGGGGTCCCTTCCTGATCCTTCTGTGCCTCCCCGTGTTAGAGCCAAGCAGGGCCTTCTCTGGCCCACTCTGCTCCCTCAGCCCAGCTCCCATCCTGCTTCCCAATCACTGCTGTCACCCTCCATCCCCCTCACTGCTGCCCCCACCTCTGCTCCCCATCCTGGATCTCACCCTCCGCGTTCCCTGCCCCCTCACCCCACACCTGCTCTCCCACTCCTGCCCCCATCCTGCTTCCCAACCCCACTCTGACCTTCCATCACCTCACCCTCTGCCTCTCCCACCTTATTCTCCCACACCCTCTTTCCCACTCCCTGCTGCCTTGAAAGCCTTTACTCCTTCACAATCCCTCTGAATGTCAAATCCTGTAGACCCGTGGAGATGGAGGTGTCCCTGGCCTGGCCCCGTCCTCACCAGCATGTAGCAGAGAGCCCTGCACGCCGGCAGGCATGGAGGTGTCCGGGCGGGCCCAGCCCACTATTAGGACTAGTTGGAGAATGAAAGGGGACGAAGCTCGTGCCCAGCCTTCATACGGGGAACCTCCCCTGACTCTCCATCCCCTTTTGGTTGTCAGCCTGGGGCTGCCTGACTTCAGGATCAGTGATGTGGGTCCCCCCCAAATGCAGCAAGATATCGTCCGATTTTTGCTTTTGTTGCCCTTGCCTGAGGAGACACCCCAAAATAGTGCTTAGACCAGCATCTGAGAGCTCACTGCCTACACTTTCAGTAGCAACTTAGGTCCTGTAGTCAGCACCGCGTCATCACTCTGAGACCTGCCGTGGTGATCATTTCGTAATGGATAAAAATACCGGTCACCCTCCTGAAACAAATGTCTCCAGAAACGAATGTCATACCGCATGCCAGCTATAATTTAATGAAAAGAACGCCAGGAGAAATGCCCTGGGTGAGGCGGTTGGGCCTGGGGGCTCTGTGCAAGGACCCGGCTTGGAGTGTCAGTCCATCCCGTTCACTAGAAAGGTGGTTGTGTCCTCGAGCCTTGGTTTCCCTGCCTGCCTCCGATGCAGGAGTGGTGGCAAGGGGGGGGGTGGGGTTTGCTTGTGACTGTGACGTGCTGGGTGGGTGGTGCGAGCCACTGGGCAGAGGGGGCTTCATTCCGTGGCCTCCGATTTGCTTCCTTTGGGCAACGTCTGTGAGCAGGAAGGGCTGACCCATGGCCTTCGTTTCTTTGCAGGCAGGTGACAGCAGGGACATGTCTCGGGAGCTGCAGGACGTGGACCTCGCTGAGGTGAAGCCTTTGGTGGAGAAAGGGGAGGTGAGTGGAGACAATCCTGGCTACATCCTCTCCCATGCACACTCGTACCTGGACATCGGTGGGCGCACAGTACAGACACGTGTGTGTGCCCACATGCATACGCACTTGCATCTGTCCCCTTCTTCCTAGTATCCAAGACTGCAGAAGGACAAGAGATACCTTGATGTTTCACATCAAGGAGGCCTCCCTGTTGGAAACAGAAACCCATGTCCTCCAGCTTGGGCTGTCACGGTCCATCCGGAAAAGCTTTTCCATTTGCACAGTCGACGCTGTGTTCTAATTTACATTCGCCTCCCTGTTCCTACCAAGCTCTGTAACTGCCTATGATGATACATCTTTTTAAGGATACAAGGCTCAGGCTCAAAAGTGAAGTTATGCTAAGGCCAAGTAAAGGCTCTCAAAAATAATAATTAACACGCACCAGACAGGTCTTGCATGCCAGTTCCTGGGCTGTATTTCATGGTCATCTTGGGCTGACCGACAGGATGGACTATGATTACTTGATGCTAGGTTCTGTGATCCTTCCTGTCTTACAGAAGGGAAAGGGGAGTCTCGGAAAGTTCATTTGTCCTCCGTCACATAGTTACAGAGCTTGGGGCATGGAGCCAAACCCAGGCCAATTGCTTTGGGTGAATGGCCTGTTCCTTTGGTATTTTTGTGACTTTGCATGTGGCTGCTGTGTCTTAGGTCCATTATTTCGTAGATTTTTTTGTTACGAATGTGGGAGGCCATCGCCTCTCTCCCCATTTTGCAGAGACAGACACTGGTCTGTATTGGGAAGGGAATCACCCAAGATCATCCAGAAGGAAGAGGAGAAGCCAGGCCCAGGGAAAGCTGCAGACTCCTTGTTACCATTCTGCCCCAGGGGTCTGCAGATGTTTTCTGTAAAGAGCCAAACAGTAAATCCCTCAGGCTTTGCACGCCGTTCAGTCTTTCATAACAGCTGAGCTCTACGGTTGCAGCATGAAATGAAAGCGGCCACAGACAGTATGTGAGCAAATGGACTTGTGTTCCAGTAAAACTTCATTTACAGAAATAGAGGACGACTGTCATTCGCTGATCCCTGCCGTTCCCTGCACATGCTCCAAATCCATTTCCTCTTCATCTGGGGTCTGTGACAGAGAGAGGCTTTAAAAGCAGGCATATCAACCAGCCAGCCCTTGGTCATACAGAGACATAGCAACATGTTCTCATTTTTCCCTTTTAAAAAGCCATATGAAATAGTAGAGCACACCTTGCTTTACTCATGTAACGAACTCTCTTGGAGACCTTTCCAGCGAGGGTCCACAGGACACTTTTTCCTTCCAGTTTCCCAGCGTCCCCCAGAGTTGGTTGGACCAATGCCTTGTCTGTGGATATGTGGGTCTTCCCAACCTTTTGCCGTTCCCAGCAACGCTGCGGGGTACTTGCATCATTTGGACCTTGGACCTGCGTCATTCGTATACGTGCAGGTGCAGCGCTAGGATAAATTCTCAGGGGTGGCATCTCTGGGTCCAAGGCTAACTGCATTTGTACACCCGGTCTTTATACTTTCCAGGCAGCCTACTGGTATCTTGGGAAAATTTTATTTTCGAAACCAACATGTAGGAGGTTAACACTTGCAGGTGGCATGTCTATCTCAAAGTGAATATTTGCCTTTTCTTCCGAGGTTTTGATGGAAGGAAACCTTCTATTTCCTTTGACTGACTCAGCAGAGTGTTTTTAATGAGACTTGCTTGGGGAAGCTCTTTCTGATACCTCTTCTCAATCTGGATGGCCATGGAACTCTCGATGATGCTTCGGGGGAGTTGTACAGAATGGCTTTTCCAGCCTCCTCCCACCGACATGCACATTCACAGAGTGGGCGTTGGCCACATCTGCTTCTACCTTAACCCCGCCCAGGGTGCAGTGAAGCCATTTTAATCTCCAGCAGCCGGGCACCTGTTACAATCGGGTCTTCCAGCTCTGGCTCTCCCAAGGGGTTTCCCTCTTTTCCTTCCCCTCATTTGCATTTTGCTCTGCTGAGCTGTCTTCCTCCCTGGTGTTTGGCGATAAGGTCTGGAAGGGGCTTCGTTTTCAGAGGGTTTTGGACTCCCATCTCTAGGCCAGAAAGAAAACATGCCAGCAACATCTCCTGGGAAAGTTGCAGTCCCTTCTCAGAGCCACGTTCTCCCTGCTCCCCAGGGGACTGGGACCCCTGATGATGGGGGTAACCATGGAAGATACTGAAGAACAGTGACATGGTCAGGTTTGAGTTTAAAAGTGTAACACTTGGGTAGAGGCAGGGAAACTACTTAATAGCCTGTTACATTCCTGTATGTCTCAAGCTTGTGGCCAGCTTAGACCTTCAGATCTTTTTTGATCAAGTGTGTTGTCAAAAAGGATCTGGCTAATGTGTCTACTTTTTTGCTGGACTGCTCTTCTTTGAGATGAAAAGGAAAGTCTCTCTTTTTAAGAAATTCGAGAGGCCCCATGGAAGAGGGACGGTCAGCATAGACTCAGGGCTTGGAGAGACCCGGGTGTTCCGACATTATTTTTTTTCCCCAGGAAACTGACAGAACTGACTCATCTCATCTTTCTCTCCACAGACCATCACTGGCCTCCTGCAAGAGTTTGATGTTCAGGCAAGTGAGAGGGTGTGGCCGCCCTTCCCCCTCCCCTGTTCTGTTTTCTCTCTTTCCTCCTTCTTTCTGTTGGTTGAAGATCCGTTGTTCAGACACTAGGAGCAAGGGGAGGGAAGGAAGTTGTGTCACCGGGTTCTCCACACTCAGCTCCTTCTCCCCAGAAAGAAATTGGTTTGATCTCTGGCCGGGGAAGCAAGGAAGGGGATGTTGGGCTGTGGGGCATATGCGGGAGGGACATGGGGGAGAAGTTGGGTGGGCTTGGGACCCGGTGATGGGAGGAAGCTGAGCAAGGCTTGATGTTCTTGGCTCTGCTTGGGAAAGTGAGCCCTTCTCTGTGGTCTCCTGGCTCCATCCCTGCTCAGGGTAGGCGCGGGCGAGGGGCGTGTGTCTGGAGCTTTTTCCAAGAACAAGTTTTCAGGAGAGCAGGCTGGCTGGTCTTGGCAGAGGGAAGGGTCAGAACCTCAGGAACTGGAAGCCCTGGACTCAGTATCTTAAAGCTGGCATAGGCCTCACGCGGGGGCGAGGGGGGGAACCCTGATGGGAGGTGTCCTGGGCAGTGCTGGGTCAGTAGCACACCCTGTCTACTAACTCTTCTGTGAGTTGTCCTTGTGTTGTGCCCCCCCTCCCCATCCCTGTGGTGAAATACACATGGAATTTACTCCCCTAACCATTTTTAAGTGTAAGCTCCAGGGGCACTAACTACATTTCTGGTGTTGTGCAACCATCACAGCTGTCCAGCTCCAGAACTCTTCATCTTGCAAAACTGAAACTCTAACCCCAGTAGGCACAGATTCCCCACTGTCTCCTCCCCGCAGCCCCTGGTCACCGCCGTTCTGCTTCTGTCTCTGCATCTGGCTACTCTGTGTGGTTCATGTAAGGGGTATCCTGCTGCATTTTGTTGTCTTGTTATTAGCTTATTCTGCTTCATGCCATGTCCTCGGGGTTTGTCTGTGCTGCGGCAGGTGTCCGGATTCCCTTCTCTTCTGAGGCTGAATACTATGCCGTTGTAGGTGTTATGGACCACGTTTTGTTCATTCGTCCATCGGTCAGGGGCGACTTAGGATGCTTACATTTTGGCGATCGTGTGGAATGCCGTTGGGAGCATGGGCGTGCAAGTGTCTGTTCGGGAGCCCTGCTTTCAGTTCTTTGGGGTGCACCCCCAGACAGAGAATGGCTGGATCATGTGATTATTGTAGATTTTTAAAAGCTTGGTTCTGGATTTGGAGAAACCTTGAAAGCATCGTTTATTTGTTTCCTGGGAAGATAATTCCTCGTGTTTGTGTCTCTCTTGGTAGTGTGCAAACCACTGTTAGATGCTGTGATTTCCAGGCACTGGTAGCCAGTAGAACAGAGAACAGCACCTCTGGCCCCACCTGCCAGCCCAGGTTACCACCTGACTTTAAGGTCACCCAGGCTGGGGCGGGTGGGACGCTGTACCTTCAGGACATCAGCAAAGGGAAGCCCCGGCCGGGGGCTGGGAGAGAGAGGGGGAGATCCCCCCCAACCCATCATGCACCAGGCTGGGTTGGGCCCTCGCAATTAATCCTGGAGCTGTCCTGTGAGGTGGGAGCATTTTTCGGATTGTGCCTCCCTTTGTCCCTTTCACAAATGCCTGCTTTGTGCCCGGCATTGTCTTTGTGCCTGGCATAGGTGCTGGGGACACAGTGGGGAGCGTGACAGGCTGTGATCCTTGTTTTCAGGAACTTAAATTCCGAACTCATAGCTCACACTGCTGAGCTGTGAACACATGCCAGGCATGGCTCTGAGCGCGGAGGGGCGCACTCAAAACGGTGCCTCTCTCCGTGGTGCGGAAGGAGAGCCCAAAGCACAGAGAGGTTGAGTAGCTTGCCCGGAACCTCAGGGGTGGAAAAGGGTCTGAACTCAGCTGGTGCGTTTCCGGAGCGCCTGTTGGAAACCAATTCTTCTGAGTTTGCTACGAGTCGGGGGAACCAGTCAAACACGCCGATGCCAGCTCCTGGAAGGGCTTTGAGGACAACAGCTCCCCGTCCCATGGTGGGGTGCTGTCCGGGAAGGCTGTTGGAGGCGGAGACATTGAGCTGAGATGGGCATGATAGATGGAGCCAGTCATGTGACCAGGAGAAGCTTAGGGACCCATCATCCCACACAGGGGCCCCTCTGGCTTGGGCCCCGAGCCTTCTGAGGGTCCCCTGACATCTTCTCTAAGCGAATAGGTGCGATCCTTCCTGTGAATCGGTATCGGGGCTGAATCTGGGTGCGGAGTAATACTCTGTCAAGGTTGTTTGCAAAAGTATCTCTTTGTATAAAACTATACTAATACGGATTTGGCTCTTAGACCTGGTTGACTCATGGTGTTTATGAAACTTTCTGTCAGATTTCCAGCAGTCTCCGAAATCGTGGGTGGGGGTTGCTGTAGGACGTTCCCTCCGAAGCTGCACAGCCCTGTGAGGCTCTCCGTATCCTAAAGAGTTACCGACCACAGGCCAGAGGTGGAGAAGGACAGAGCCGTGGTTCTGTGCCCCAGGCAGGTACTCGCCAGCCGACCCTGACCTCAGACTTCACACGGGGCTCTGGCAAAGGGTCTCCTGCCTGCTGTGGACTTCTTCAGCCTCTGATGAGCTAAGCCAGCACCCAGGGCTTCCCAGGCACTCTTGCTGACTCTTCTGGGACTTGTCCTATCATCCCTCCTTGGCAGATCGGGAAACTGAGGCTTTCCAGCAGGTGTGAAGGGGCCCCGCTGAACCTGGTCTAACCCTGACCCTTTCTCTCTGCCGTGATGCGTTACAGTGGTGATGGGCCTGGGAGGGCCGGTGAGGGCTAGAAGCCAGCATATCTTGGCAGCTCCGGTTGTAAACCAACCGGGCTGGGCAAATACTCTGGACAGTACTTTGGGGGGCAAACGTTTAACCCCCGAGGGTGAGCCGATGCAGGACTCACAGCGGGTGTGCCCTCGTGGCAAACTGCTTTCATCTGTTCATTTAGTTGGTTCCTTGCTGCTCATGAAAACAGGGGGGCCCCGGCTGGGCAGTTCCTTGGGGGCCAAGTTAAAGGAGCCCGAGTAGCCTCCCTGCATGGATCCCACAGCAGCCTGTGTTATTTTTTGGAAAATATTTGGTGCTTCAGCATTTTGACTAACTCAGGCAGACTCTTTGTTCTTTTCCCAGAGTAGTCAAGATTTTTTCCCTGCTGAATCAAAACACACCGTAGCCCAGAGCTCAGCAGTCAGAAGCTGCTGGAGGGTCTGCTGCGTGAGCCTCGGGGCTGCCTGTCTTAGGAGAGAGCTCCCTGCCAAGACGCAGGCTTTGTGGCCTCGTCTCTTCCCGGCTGACATCATCTTAGGCTGGGCACTTAGTCTGGGGCCTGGCTGATGTTTTGGGGCAAATTGATTGGTTCCCAGCCTTGGAAGGTTGTGACATGCTCTCGGGACCTTTCTTTGCATGCCTTTCCTGGCGACCCTCTGGGATCCTCAGAGTACAGGGCTGGGTGGGCTACTGGGCTGAGGTGCCTTGGCTGTAGGATGGGTGCAGTTTGATATGATTTTGCAGAGAAGGTTTTGGCATCAGGAACTAGGCTGTTGTGTTTGCAAATTGGATGAGTAGGGTAGGTGGGGATATTTTGGGTTCCAGCTTACTTTCTTTGGCTAGACTCCTAGAATCCAAGAATATCAGACCTGGCAGATGCTTTATGAGCTAGCCCTTCCCTCTCTGCTCCAGGTGGGGAGGCTTCCTGGAAGGCCACTAATGGGAGGGGAGGGGAGGGGAGAAGGGAGCGAGAATGCATTATTTGCATGCCTGCTTACTGTCTGAGGCCTTCCGTGCCAGGTGGGAATGTTACCCTCTTTTGCAGATGAGAAATCAGTCTGGAGAGTAAAGAAATGCACCAAAGGGTGCTGTCAAGATAACCCTCAGTGACCCAAGTGACTCTGAGATAGGAGAGAATCACGGGAGTCCTGATAACTGATGTCCTGAGCACTAACCGTACCCCAGAAATTGTTCTGGCCTCTTCTGTGTGGTGTCCTTAACCCTCACACCAGGCCTTCAGGAGACAGCTTAGTGCACCCGTGTTTCATAGTTGAGACAAGGCCCAGAGAAGATTGAAGGGATTTGCCCCGTGTTGCCCCATGATGAGGTAGATGACCAAGCCTGACCCAGTGCCCATGTCTGGAGCCAAAGTCAAAGTCCCTATAACCAGTGGGTGGAGAGGGTGGCAGGGTGGTGACCACTGCCCCTCACTCCGACACTCCTGAGGCGGGACACTTGCTCTGGCCCCAAATGGCCTCTCCTGTTAGATTTGCTGTTTCTAATTCCTTCCACCTGGACCTTCAGTTATTCAGGTGGTTTGATCTGATTTGGTGTCCGTGGGAATCTTCGTCTGCGTGTTCATCAGGGCTCCCTGGGCATGGAGCTGATGTCACCCGCTGGGCCTCTGGGTGTGGAACAGCAGGGGCCATGGCATAGGAGGCAGTGAGCAGCGTCTCCTGGGGTCTGGCTCCCACTTTTCAGCTCGGTCTGAGCCTGGCAGAGGGTGAGGGTGTTGGGAGAGGTGATTTCCCCCCATTTCTTGGAAGCAGATCAGCTTCTAGGGAAAATGGAAACAGTGACCTTTTACTAATTTTCTTTCTTTGCACACAGTTGCTTCTTGTTTTCATGCTCCCTGACTGAAGGTGGGCAGAACTCAGAGGCTTGGAAATCCTCAACCCACCATTTCCCATCCCTGCCTTGCCCAGCCCCACCTCCCAGCCAGGCCACTGGGGCTTAGAGCCAAGCCCGAGTGACAGATGGCAGAAGTGCTCAACTGGGTCACTGAGATGGCTTGCTTCTTCTCTCCTCTGTGGGTTTCCTGGGAGTGCCCTTTGGGGGGAGGGGAGCGGTGGGCCAGGAGAGGGGTGCCTCACCCACCAAGCGCCCCCGTGGTGGGGCTCAGCTCTCCCTAGGTCTAGGCTCAGTATAGACATCCATGCCCTGGTGTCACAGGGCAGGTCCAGTGGACAGAAGCTGGTTGTCTTTGCCAGCTGTGTGTCC